TTAAAAATATTTCTTCTTGATTTATATTCTAAAACATAATTGTTGTTATAATATTCATTGTGAGAGGAACTATACAACAATGCAAGAATTTATCTTCCAATAAAATATAAAATACAACATTCTGACAATATACTAATTTGCGGAAATAATAATAATGTACATTCTGTCACATGATCTAAATGTATTTGTAATTGACATTGAACTAACCCTGGGTACACCCACACGCCTAAATACAGTGTCAGACAAGTTGGCAGGGTTCTTTCTATAACATTAGAATTTGTTTTACAGAAAATCATGGCACACTCATTACATGTATTAATATTTAATTACGTTACTGCAATCTTTAAGTGTATAAGGCATTAGAATAATGTTGCAAAAATAGTATTTTATATTAAGTACTGTGCTATAATGGGAAGGATATATTAAAGCAATTATGTACTATAATATTGATAGATTGCATACTATTTGAGTTTGGGCAGGATATACTATGTTCTAGAAATATCCTACCATATGTTATTTGTAGATACACTATGTCACGATTATGATACACTGCTATATGTTGTTGGTAGGAATGTGATACACTTTGTTAGGGATATGATATACTATGGCATAGATATGAAACACTATGTTATGAATATGATATACTATGTTGTGGATATGATATCAGTGTTCTCCATGGGTTGAAAATTTAGCCTGGCTGGCCAAATGCGAGCGCCAAAGGCGTGTACCCGCAAGGGAGGGTCCGGAAAAAGTTTTGAAATTTAGATGCAATCTAGGACGTTTTCCCGGCATAAATCTCGGCAACCTCAAGGCAATTTTTCATTGTAAAATGCACCGGCAATGGAAAAAAGCGATAAGATTTTTTTTATTTTATTTAAACTATAAAAACAAATTAATAGCCCGACTGCGCCAGTCTATTGCTTACCTAACACCTTGACTTACGTTAACGCCATGTTAAAGCATGGTAGTCGTCGCGCAGCGTGTGTTCAAATTTCATGTAAATAAACAATGTATTTTATACGCGTTGTATACGTTGCTATGAGTCCCATATTGAACAGGACGCGGCATGTCAACTGTCGTCCTTTAAAATTGCGTTAGGACCGTGCCAACGCCTCGTTAATGCAGGTCAGCTTTGCGTTAACGGAAGCAGCTCAATAACTTCGATAGCTTTGTTTGCATGCAAATGAAGAGAACAATAGTGTTCTGTGTTACGTGATCGCGTGTGCAACAAAGCTGGTCGAAAAGATCTGTAGACTCCAGAATTTAAATTTGGGCGAACGTTTCACATTTTCAATAAAAAATAAAACTACGTATTTTTTTTATGTCCAATGTCATTTTGATTATATAAAAAAATGATGTAGTCACGTTGCAACAGTTATTAGAATGATACAGAGCGACTTACAAAGTATCATTTTTTGCTTACGTTGTTGGCAAAAATGTGTGCATTTAGTTCACATACAATTCGATAAAATACTGACTAACGTAAAGTCGTACAAATTGTACTTTGATTTTTGTCCAAATTCGGTAATCATTCGTTTCTTAGATATACCAATTCAGTTTGACAATAACACCTTGGATTTATGATAAGTAAAAGAAGCCTTTCGCAAACCAAACAGCTGTGTCAGACGGGAAGTGACACTGACATGTCTTATTCTGTCATTTTATGCATGTGCCCTTACCAAAATTCATTAGACAAAATGTATACTTTTTGTGTGCAAAAAGTATACAAATTCTGAATAAATTTGTACATTTTATGTATAATTTTTGTATACAAGAAGTACCCTATATTTGGAACAGATTTGTATACAAAAGGTATGCAAATACTATACAAATAGTATACAAAAAATTTACAAAGCTCAATTCATAAATAGGGCATTTATTTAACAAAATGAAATTCAACTTCATTGTGCGTTTCATTTGTGCTAGTGTATGGTCTTATTACACAACAGCATGTATTTGTATTTACCCATATTTAGATTTCAATTTATCAATTGTTTATGCTTACCTGACTGGCTATAGTACATTCTTTTACAACCTATGTTGTATCTGTTTGAGATACATGTCAGCCAAGGATGTACAACAAACTGATTGTGATGAGAGTAATACTGATTTATTTCATTGTATTTTCCTCAACTGAAAATGCCAAAACTAGATATATAATGGAAAATTAAATTTTAATTTAGTTAAATTGATTAAAAAAAAGTTCATAAAATTGGCAATAAGTCATGTTAGGAGCCAAAACAGGATAATTTTTAATATATGCAAATTAGGCAAACTCTAAACAACTCTCGTGGGAAATGTGTTATACACTCTTCTTATAATGACTGAATTCTTTTAGTAAACTGTAGTAAAAATATAATTTTACTGATATCCAAAAATATAGATTAGTATTCTTGTAATTAATCTGTTAAAAATGTTTTTATACTCTCTTATGAATATTAAGTTCCATATTTGTGTACAGTTTATGTATACATATATTGTATTATTGAGCATAGTTAAGTTTATTCAGATTCTAACTCCAATTTTTGTACATTCTATGTATACATAAATAATACTAATATTTGTCAAGATGCCAAGTCAATAATTTGTACAATTAATGTATACATAAATTATACTTCATTCTGACATGATTCTAACATAAATTTTTTTGGTTACTCTTTTTTTCTTAGTCATGATATTGTACATTTTGTACAATTTTTGTAAATTATTGAATCCTATACAAAAAGTCTGTACATTTCTAGTATACAACAAATATACATTAATGAATTTGTATAAAGTGTGTATACAAATAATGTACTGCTGTTTTCTTGTATGTATGAATTTTGTATACAAATAATGTAAACAATTTCAAAAAAGTATACTTTTTGTACAGAATATGTATACAATTAATATACTATTGGGGCGGACAATTTGGTAAGGGTATTTATCACCAATTCCAAAAGTAAAAGTCGTAACTTTCGAAGTATTACGAGTATTATGACTCGTTCATACAATTCACTTATGTTTATTGCACTTAAATAAAGTTTAAAATAGCCGAGCCTTCCTGATTTGAGCCTCCTGTTGATTAATGTTTATTCTTTGTCTGTATTCCAGACAAAATGTTCAAGATCGGTAAACAAGAAATGGACAAACTAAAATGTCTTGTGTGTTTCACGTGCGACATGATTATTAAAAAAGCGATCATGTACATCCCATAAATCTAACCTTGCACACATAATCTTGCATTGACGTGTTGTTTTTTTCAAAAGCGACGTTGCCTTTCAGTTAACTCTTCACGTTCCTGGTATTTGTGAATTAAAACATATTTGCGTTATTCGAAAAGCAGCACACTAAGTAAACGATGTTGAAGTATTCAAAGCCAAAACAGAGTTGCATCCAAGTTGTGTTATTACAGAGCCGCCGGATATACCGCCGGTAATAACAATTTTGCTAAATGGACGCGCAGACCATGAAAGAAAAAGCTTGCTAAGGTAACACACCAGTTCAGTGCGTGACTTGGGGTCAAACTTTGGTCAACTTACACTTGATGTCAGCATCGCCGTGTAGCAAGTTTCGCAAAGTACTTTAAGTTCAATTGCGCCCCAAAATGATGTCGACGATTACACAGTTGTCGCAGCGCATGTTGTACTAAGTCCATGATACACCCTGTTTCGACTCCGGCTTGCTTTTCCTTCTTAGTGCATGTTCTTGTTCACGTAAAATGCCACCTCTCACTAATGTATTAAAACACTTATACTTATGCGGGATTATATTTGGTCATTTAAGCATGGCGAATTTTACCTTGGCAGCACGATATTTAGCCTGGCGGCGTATGATTTTACCTTGGTGGCCCGCCCTACCAAATCAACTCGGGGAGAACACTGGATATACTATGTTATGGATACAATATACTATGGCAAGGATATGATACACTAGGTTATGAATATGATATACTATGTTATGGATAGGATATACTATATTATATTATGAATATTATATACTATGGCATGGATATGATACACTATGATATGAAAATGATATAAATATACTATGTTAGAGGTATGCAGTGCACTTAATAGATAGAACTTATAGCATATAATTTATGAGTGATTGGTGCAGTCAGTGTATGTATGCTTGATTCATATAAATATTTACATGTCACACGGCCTTGACAATACAATCATTACAAGAAATTTGCATAAATCTTTGGTGTACAAATACATCTATATTAAGCTTTCATTCTGCTAATGACAAATAAAACAGTTAAAATATGGGTATGAAACTGCATACATACAACATCACTTTCTACATGTTCCAATATCTTTTTTTTTTATGTTTCACACCCCTATTTTAGCAACTGTCACCACAGCAACCAACTCATCACCATTGCCACTTTAACAATATATTAGCTCTGTATCTGTTTTTTATTCAAGATATTAAACCTGAGAGCAATGTATGATATCTGCTTGACTCAAAGCACAAATAATTTTGAAAATTGGTGATTTTCTGTTCACTATGAGATCTTGCGTAATGCATAAAAGATATGGATCAGACATCTGCCTCAAAAACATGAATTTCTTTATAGTTCAATGTCAAAATACATATCTTTCAGAAAAGCTAGAGTATGGCGATATATCCTTACTCTAAATTGGCCATCATCAAATGTGTATAGCATATTATTAAATGTGGAAATACTCCCAAAAATAGCATCTGTCAAATCCCCTACAACGTTTTGATGCCACTAGGATGCTATGTCCTTCATTTGTTCTTTATATATATTCTATTTTATGTTTAATGCAGGATCTCGCAGTAAACAAAAAATGGTCTATTGGGTATTAGACAGCATGGTGACGAGAAGGCTTATAGAAATATGTCATGCACTGTGTAATCCAGTTGTCTGCATCCATATCATTGATTATTGATTGAGGAAGCCATGCTAATCTTTGTGTTAATAGTGGTAGCAAGGATCACTGCAAACCCATGTTATGGTCACTCCACAGCAAACGGTGCACTTTACTTACAAATAGGCAGTTGGTTTCTTAAACTGATCTTCAGCTTTTCTAGGTAGCATAAAGTAATCTACACGTTGGACTGTTTCTGTTCTGTCTTTGTAATGTTCACGATGTTGCTGCGATAGCTACGAATAGAATTATTTGGAAGACAGTTAAATTGGCGTGTCAATATCACACATTTATTTTTTGGGAGGGTGCCAAAATATTGTAATAGGAAACATTTCATGGCATGTACCATGTATTTGGACCAGAAGCAAATATATTTCTTTAGCCTCTAGTGTGTAATATTACTGATAAACATAATGTCTTCATGCATGTGTTAAAAATTACAACTACCAGAAAAATCAGTTCATGTTCAAGTACACAAACAAATACACAGTGCCAAATCAGTGAATTTAAATTACACAGCTAGCTAAAAATATATCTTACCATGTATTTTGGATTACCCCTCAATGTTGTTTATGATTAATTTAGAAATACTTTTAAGTATTGGTATTTAAAAATACCAATTAAAAGCTGTTTGTCAAACATAATTTTAAAATTACCATAAGCTTCATTCAAATAGCCATGCATAAAAGTTTGAATTGATATTTATAAATATTCACAATTAACAATATCCATGCTGTGTATTACCATTAAAACAGAATTTGAAAAAATATTGATAAATAAATAAAATTAACTCAATTTCAATAAAATAAAATTTACCTTTTCAAATCCCTCTAACTCATCCATTCTGTCATACTGGACATTGTTTAGTTGATATTTGGGCGCTGTTCTGTAACGTTCACGAGTACGATCTCTTGCACTCATTACTAGGTCTGGATTATGTGAATAAAGTGTTGGAAACTGGCCTCCTTTGGAATAATTACTTCTACTATTGTTTAAGACAGCAGACCTGTAGTCCTGAAAATATTTGGCTGTAGCATGTCCATATGTTTCCCCATAGTCATATTTTGTGGTGGGGCAATGACCTCGGTATCTGTCATGTGATCAAACATAGTATACAAGTCAATAAGATGTAATTTGTGTTGTTTACCATATGATGTATCAATGGTGCTGGGTGAATTTATATACCAATGTCCCTCTCAAGTGAAAGTGCTTTAAATATCACATCATTCAAACCATTTTTCTGGAATTCCAAATGTGTTTCTCATCTGCTAGTTTTTTACCTTTAATATATATTATATTCACTCATCCAACTGAAGTGATGGAAATAATTACAAACACAGAAAAACACGGAGTTTGAATATGAAATTAAAATAATTCTGAACTTGTCTTATTAGACAGTTGTTAAGACAGAGTTATAGTAACTAAATATTCATGTACGCTCTCAATAAACAATTTATTTGTCGTGTTCACATCTGTTTTTTTGTGTCCCTTTATGCTGACGTAAGTTACATTAGCATAATAGAAAAGATGAGTGAAAATGTTAGCCTGAAGTTAGGTTTAAAATGGTGGACTACAAAACAAAATAATAGAGGGTAGCCGAGCTACCCATTACTGGAACTATGATAAAGACAAGTGACTACATAGGGTGCGAGATATTTAGATACAACTCCCGCACTTGGTGGGCAATTACCGCGAGACTTTGCAATATCCCCAGACACTCTCCTATGGTTACAATACATACCCGCCTATGCGACAGTTAATCAAAACTACAATTTATTGCATGCTTATGCTCATTCATTTAATAAATAAATTCTATTTTGAACGTTTCACGAAAATGATAAACCTCGTAATATAAACATATAATTCAAAAACCTAAATTATCCTCGTGAGTACAGTTTAGTTTTGAATGCAGTCTTTGATTTGAACTCATCGTTTACTATACAATGATGAATCAATGATATTACTATTCAAAAACCGGTTGGATACGTTCAGACAAGAGTAGCGGCCGTCGTCGACTGAAGAAATCGACAAGAAATCGTTGAGTTTATCGAATTTCGTCTTTTATGTTCATTCCCAGTTTTGTGTTTCAAGTGTTACACAGCATTGATTTACAAAGCAATGGAATAGTTCAACTATGTGGTCTCTGCTCGTGCCCACATATCAAAGGCATATCTGCTGAGGAAAGTGTCTGACGATGTTGCAAAGTGCCTCGGTAGTCGCCTACCAGGTGCGGAAATGAGGTGTACGTAAATATCTTGCGCCCGCTGTAACAGTTATTATTAATCTAAGCCACACTTACCCTGGCATTAATCTGGGTGGAATATACGCAGCATTGTGTGTGGTTATCAGTGTACCGGCACTTCGAGACATCCTGATGTTCACTAAACGTAACTAAATCGTTTAAATGAGTGAATATGTGACGCAATGTTGTGCTAGAACCAAGACAAAATCAATACAATAAGTAAGTAACAGTAAGTTGATAGTGTAAACATGTATCACGCGTTGCTAAGTGATCGAAATTAATCCGCATAGAATAGTTCCAATACTGACAGGCACTAAGCATTTAAACGCCTAATGTTCATGCTGGACATTAAAATAATTTCCTAATAACTCTTGACATGTATGTCATATAATGGAGAGCTTACTTGAACAACTGAAAACGAACGAGTTCACAAATAAAAGTACCGCGTATGAACACAGTAAAGTGCGTAGTAAAATGCGTCGATAGTAGTCACCACAGGGGGCGCTGTTCAGAATAACTCGACTTGACGCCATATTTTTATCCGGTTTTCTGATCACTTTTATTATCATATACTAGTACGCTATGAACACATGACGGATTGAAATAGGTTAAACCCATTTGAGGTTTTCAAAGTTTCGTTTCCAGAGATGGGAGTGATTTGCTTTCTGTCCGTTTTTTCATTATGTTTTTCCTATCTGTCGATAACTGAATATGGGGCGGAGCTACGTCACAAGACGCTCCACGTTGCTAAGACGCGCACCACTGTACCATGCATCCCATTGACGCTGCAGTTCGGCGTCTTGTTTGTGCTGGGACAGCGCTTCCGGTGACGACACCACGCATGCATCCTCGGGGCGGAGCTACGTCACAAGACGTTCCACGTTGCTAAGACGCGCACCACTGCACTGCTGTGGAACGCCGGTTGAGCCAGTGAAAATTCGAGAAAACAACACAAACTCAACTTTGAAGTATACAGCTGCTGATTGAAAACGTAATTATAGCGTTATAAGATGTGTCACAATTACGTTTTTAAAAAAAAACGTTATAATAACCAAAAAAAATTAGTCCAACTTTATAACATTACTAAATGATGCATTTACAGTGTAAATAATTATGTTATAATGACATTTGCAAAAAAAACAGCATAATTATGCTTTGCAATATCATACTAATAACGTTTTTTTTTTTTCCCTGGGTACGTCATAGTGACGTTTGCCAAAAACGCTTGAATGGCAATGTTAAATGTCATACCTTTATCGTAATGGTATTTTATAACAGAAAAATACAGTTCTTCTTATGTGATTTATTTACGTAAATTGTCATAATGCCATAATTACGTTTTTTAGTGATGCATAAAACATGTTGCATACAGTTATTACAAATACACTGATATAGTAATATACATACTTTATTTAACAATACAGTATCTCCATTTACACACAAAATTACATTGTAATACAATTAGGACCGAATACGAAAATATGAGTTGTATACTTGTGTAATTTCCACACAAAAATCTTTATTTTCCGGCAACAGCACCTGGACATTTCATCATTTAATTTCTATTTCCAACCGTTAATTGTTCATAAATTGAGTCAATTTGTGTAGTTTTCTTGATTTATTCTGTAGATATAGGTAAAATAGAGGTAAGGCTTTGGCGAAATTTAAAAGAGCAACTAATATTCTGCAATCTGGTGCTTTTTATTAATTTCGAAGTTATTATTGTTATATTCAATGTTACGATGATATTGCCGATAATTGAAATGCATAAGTTATGTTAATTGGGGTCAGTCTACGTCCGCACGTGGTCGGTATTGACCAATCAGTGTTTGTTTACTTCTGCTCGTGTGCAGTTCAATTTCTTCTGCATTCCTTTTCCAGACGACATTTTATGACCGCTGTATTTTTACTGGAGTCGTTTTGATATAAATGGTATACAGGTTGTGATTGTAATATTCAACGGAAAACCTAACCGAGTCTGTATTTATGTGACGCTATTCACAATTTGGTGCCGAGACCAGGATATTTCCGAACACTATAATCTCTAATTAGTAGATTTACATCTTAGCGCATGTTTTACAATCATAGTTTATGTTTAGAACGATTTATTTCTCAATTCAGTGTTTTTAATAGGCAATGGGGGAGATTTATTTATTTATTTTTCCAAAAATATTTTAAGATGCACAAATTTCGCAGATGTCATAACATCGTCAACAGAGGGCGTGCTGCAAAATAATAGGATAACAGATAGGTCCGTATTTTTGGGATCGTGCGCACGCTGACCAGAAACATACATTGTTTAGAGTACCGATAAAACATTGTTTAAATATGTGATATTTCGTTTGAAGCTTTGCAAATGGAACAATATTAACACTTTCTTCTATGCTATCGATAAAGAGCCATTGCTCGAAACGTCTAGCTATTTTTAATAGTTATTTAGGACTACGATTACCAAATATTATCTTCTATATATCATATTTATCAGTCCGAGCAGCGTTTATTTATTTATAAACTACTATTCGCAAAGGACGCCGGGAACCAGCGAATGTCACGTATGACGCAATTTTGGGGCCAGTTTGTCCTTCGAAGTTTCGAACCGACTCCCGGCGCACCTTGCGTGATATGCGTCAGATCGGTGTAGAAAGGACGTCGACCTGCAGCGTCCCAAACGACGATAACAACACACGCTAAAAACGCAAAGGCTCATCGGTAGATGCTTGTTTGTAAACAATGACTCGCTATGGCCATCTGACGCATGTGCGGGTGACGACTTCCCCATCTTAACCCTTATAGCCACGGTCCACCAGTAATAGCTTACTTGTTGAACCAACACAAAAATTAGCATATCTATAATTAAAAAGGAAATATTCATAGATATTTAAAGAGAAAACTTCAAATAAATTTGATTGTCCACCACGAATTATAAGACAAAAACTAAAATGTTGATAGATAAAATCCAGGCAAAACTGAGTTCATTTTTTTATAACAAGCATAAATAATCCTCCAACCGACACAGACATTTGAAGTTTTGACCTTGTAAGTGCTGCATTTTAATACAATTCGTTGAGTAAATGTAAAAAAGGCCGAATATTTACAGATTTGCCATCTTAAATTGTGAAAATGTCATGAATTAGTTTTCGCGTATCTGTTAACCGACTTAATTAGTTGATTATTAGCGAATTGCTGAGTTATGTCTGTCATCGTTTAGGCCTATTTGAGGTTTTGGACGGAACTTGGCTCAGTGATTTGGAACTAATTACGAGATAACCGTAGCTATTCAGACTATTATCGAATTATAGCTATCCCATTCCTTTATTTTTTTGTTTCCAATAGCCTTACACATTTGGATGCCCCCTACACATGTTAAAACAGACCTTGAAGGAAAAACAAATCGTTTGTGCCGATAAACAAGCTTGAAAATCTTTGCTGTTACTTCATGGACGTTTTCTAGGAGTTTATGTTTTTCAAAATACAAGGTCTTTAACAAATAATAACGTATACTTATTGTCGTCGGATTAACACCAAATTTTCACAGCTTTAAGGTGACAATGAGAGGAACTTGAATGTGTCCAGACAAACTATTTCATGGATTATTTACCAATGTGTTGCGGTTTGAGTTGGGGCAATGCGACTAAAACAGAAATTAAAATTCAGGACACTATTTTTCAAAACGCGCTGCTTGAATAAAACTGACCAGACACATTCAATTTACCAGACTATTGAACAACTAGGAAAAGAGAAAAAAAAACCTTCTTATCATCAGCATAAATGCGTAATTATTTTTCCCGATCCCATACCTCAAGGGGACGCGATATAGAGACGAGACGAGATTCCCCCCTGACACGTGTGGAGAACCCCGAAGAGAAGACTTACCCCCCTGATAAAAACATAAATAACCCAGGTCGAATGGACAAGTGGTAAAACCATTGGAGACAAAAACACGTCAATAGTACAACAAAACTATAAATATCATAGTAATACATTAACCGACGAAAGGTAAAGAATGCATTGTACATATATTCATTTTGCTATGTTATTTGTGCAGTTAGGAGCGGGATGGGAGACGATGATGTTCTTTGAAAAAGAAAACATGTATCAAAAATGATTCAACAAAATTTCCCAGATACCTTGCAGATTTTACATTTTACCGTATTTTGTAGTAAAAAAATCATGAATATAATCATAATACAGATATTGACGTAAACATAAGTTGTACAAGTAAGACATTCCAGGGGTTGTTTCGTGGCTGCTGCCTTGGAGGGGACTGGGTGACTAGTAAATAATGGCTAGAGTGTTTACCGTGAGCTTTGAATTAAATTGGCTATACATAACAATGAAAATGAAAATTCAGAACAAGAGAACTAATACAAAAGAAACTACATACAAAAGACACTGGCTAAATCAGCAAAGTCTGTGATGTATTTCGTTTTTTCATTAAATAAGTCTGTCTTTGGTTTTCATAAAGCAAACATGATATAAAATGGTGTTCATCTTCTGCTTCAAGGTATTTTACTATTGCTTGTTTTCTAGTTTCTGTATTTAAGCGATGTGTGCTCAGTCGATACTAAGTCTTTCTTGAAGATCTTCCAAATGTGGAAATATGACCAGCAAAGGTAATTATCGTCCCATTGCCATAACTACAGTTTTATCCAAAGTCTTTGAACACATTCTTCTAAACAGATGTCAAAATTATCTTGATGTTTCAGACAATCAATTCGGTTTTAAAAAGAAACACTCGACTGACTTATGTATTTTTACTCTGAAATAAATTATTAAGCATTACAATTCCCGTGGAAGTCATGTATTTGTTTGCTTTCTCGATGCATCTAAGGTCGTTGACGGGGTCAATCATTGGACCTTGTTTAATAAGCTCACGGAACGCATGGTGCCGGGTTACATTATTCGGTTTCTTATCAACTGGTATGAAAATCAAATGTACTGCGTAAGATGGGGAAGTTCTATTTCCCGCTCATTCAGTGTATCCAATGGAGTTAGACAAGGTGGTGTTTTGTCACCTTCCCTGTTCAATGTGTATATAGATGACCTAAATGTGAAGTTAAATAAACTTTCATGTGGCTGTCTTGTTGCAACAAAGTAATTAATAATATCAGTTATGCGGATGACATGTGTCTAATAGCGTCCTCTATACAAGGGCTACGAAAACTGCTGAAAACTTGTGAATTGTTTGCTACTAATATGCTCTATAACGTGTTGAAAACGAAGTGTATGTACTTTCCATCCAAGCTTAAAC